TTCCCGGCTCCGCCTCCGGCCGGTCTCTTCCTGGCCGCCGAGGAATGCGCCTGGCACTCGGACGTCGCCCAGGACTGTCCCCGGCGCAGTCGAGAGCCGCCCGCGCATTCCTCCGGGCGCCCCGGTGCCTTCGACGAGCGGGAGCCTGGCAGGCGAAGGCTTCGCTGGGACCAAACGGTGATGAGCTGCGGGGGTTGGGCGGGGTAGCGTTTGGGCGAGCCAAGCCGGGTGGCATGGAATGTGCCCACTGGGTACAGCAGCGGCTCTCGGAAAAGGTAAGCAGGGTCAGACCCGGCGAGCAGTTGGACGAGACCACGGGGAAAGTCCAGGGGTGTCTGGGAAGTTCAAAAGCATCCCGCAAAAAGACGCAATCCTGTAATCCTGGCCCCGCAAAACCCTTCAAGGATATGGGTCTGAATCTAGCTTGGCTTAACAAGACGTTGCTTTTTAGGTGTGCATAACTATTTTTTGCAGTAAGCCTAGGGGATTCAGCCTTTTTAAAAAATCAGGTTCACACAGCACCCTGAACCAGTAAAGTAAGCAAATAGGCTCCGTTCTTTTCCCCTGCCAAGCCACAGAAGAACTAAACCAAGTTTAATCCCAAGGGGGTTCAGGGTTTGATGCCTCTAGGTCGTTTACGGATATGGTTAAGCACAGTGAGATGACAGGCATAGTTTGACAGAAATAGATGTGTCCATGAAATATTCCCAGAATGAACATTAAATATAAATTAAAAACAATAGATGTAATCATTGAAGCATTTTATATTCCAGAGGAAGATTCCTTATAGGTACAGTGACCATGTTTTCTTGGAAAAAATAAAGGGCAGACCTGAAAAAGGGGCAAATCTGAAACAGATTCATAAGGATAAAATGTTTTAAATTGTTTCTGTTTATAACTTTGCTTTACAAAAGAAAATTCAAGAGCAAAACCAAGAAAAGCTTTACAAAAGTGCATATTCTAATAAAATATCTCGCCTGTGGTGAGCTGGGCGGCTCTATAAATTGATTTAATAAATAAAAATATTTAAAATCAAGCAGTATATGTAAATTTGTTTAAAGATGACAATTCAATTTCCATATTTTTTGCATGAACGTAAAAGACTGTGCATTAAGTGGTACCATTTGTATGGTAAATGACCAAAATAAAGGACAGAATGAGTTTTTGAAAAATAAATAAATCTAAAGGATAGCTTTCTGAAATAAAGGGCTGTCCTTTATAATAAAGGACATACGGTTACTGTATTTACAGGCCAAGTCTGATCTCATCTAAAGACTGAAATTGATACATGGAAAGTTTTTCGGTCTTTTAATGGACAGAAGACTCTGGCACTAGTAATGTCATCAAGATTGGATGAATGATTTGAAAATAAAAGAGGGTTAGGGAAGGAGAATGTGGTTTGTTTGGTTTGGACTCAGCGTGTTGTGCAAACCCACCCAAGCAGTGGCGCGTTGCGAAGGCGCGCACGTGATCTCATGATCATAAATGCAGACCCATCTATGCCTTGGGGGCTGTGTTACCTCTCCTTGACTTGGGTTTTGTAAATGGGGGCTGGGGAAGGGCAGGAGTGGGCCAGAGCAAGTGGCAGCAGTGAGAAAGGGTTGGATGGAAGAGAGGGCTGCCAGAGGTGAGGGTCAGAATGAAAAGCGGGAGAAAGGCGTGCACGTGATCAAAAGCTGTCAGGAGGAAGGCTAAAGTTCACATACTGATTTTGAAATGAGCTAACTCAATCTTTGGCTGCAGGTTGCTCCCTAAAGGTGTAACCCTGGAAAAGTTTCCCAGGACAGGTTTTTAGCAACAGCAACAAAAAGAGAGTCATATATTGGCATGAGAGAGAGGGGGGAAAAAAAGAAAAGAAAAACCAATATTCATCCTCAAATCTTTTTTTTAAAGCCCAACCAAAATAAATAAATTACTCAAGCATAGATTTTAGAACCAGGGAAAAAGGACTGGAATGTTACTGTTGGAGGGAGCTAATTTTTCTGGGTCATGCTCCCCATTTTTTTCAGGTTTGGGGATGAAGTAAAGTCTCCTTGAAGTCAGGTTTGACTCCTAGTCATTTTGGGACTGTGGCTATGAGGTTTTTCTGGAGGCAGTACTGAAATGGCTTTCTGTTGTCCCCGTTAAGGGGGTCCTTTTAGTTTTCCAATTTAGCAGATCCCCTTGTGGTCTCCTAGTCAGCTACTAACCTGGCCTGACTGTGCTTAGCTTTGAAACCCCATCAAAGCCTGCCAGTTGCCACCATCACTTGAGCCAAGGGTTAACCGGGGCCAGTACAGGTCTGTTAGGCCTTGGGGCATGCATTTTCCACCTTCAGGGCAAAAAGGATGAAAAATGGCCCTCTCCAAATCAGCCTTTTTGCTGCTGCATGTCAGTGGAGTGCTCTGGGGGTGCTCAGAGGGGAGTGGGGCAAGAACAGGGCTGGAGGGTTGTATGTGGGCCAATCCCTGCCCTGCCGGGAAGAGTTTTTAAGAGCAATGTGTTGCTTTGTTGCATTGCAGAGGGAAAAAGCACTCGGGAACATGGCGGCTTTGAACTGGAAGCCATTTGTGTATGGAGGACTGGCTTCAGTCACTGCAGAATGTGGTGGGTAATTGAATTCTGAAATAATTGGGTGCAGGATTACTGCTAATTTATAAGACTGTCCAATAGTGGTTTAATTAGTATGAAAATGACCTTCGCATACAAACTTGCGTTGGCACAAAGGTCTTTGCACGCTCACAAGGCATGGCCGAGGTGGGCAGGGGCAGGACTCCACATGGCTGGGGCTATTCTCTATTTTATCGAATTTAATGCATTTGCAACATGTTTATTTTTTGGTTATTGTTCCCATATCCCAATTTCTTTAAAAAAAAAAAAAAAAGGTGACAGGTTTTCATTTCAGTTTTGGAATGAGCAAAAAGTCCAATAGAAGAGAATATCTGTAGCTCAGGGTTGAACTGTGGAGTTTTTGGTGCTCTCGGAGCTTGGTTGTTGGCTTGTAAGTGTTTCGTTACCCAACTAGGTAATATCACCAATGCGCTGATCATGTTACTTAGTTGGGTAATGAAACAACCAAGCTCAGGAAGTGAGAAATGCTGCCAAGTGAACTGGGTGAATTGAATGGGCAGCTGCCAGGAGGACTGGGGTTTAGTGAAGTGGCTGAAGGTTGGAGAGGAAAATGGATAGAAACTGGACCTCTCCTGTAAGAAAGACCTTATGGCCCATGTCTTCTTCCGTCCACTGTATCAAGGAAATACCACCCCTATATTTGGTGTTGTGGTTTAAGGCACCAGCCTAGAAACCAGGAGACCGGGAGTTCTAGTCCTGCCTTAGGCACGAAGCCAGCTGGGTGACCTTGGGCCAGTCCCGCTCTCTCAGCCCAGGAAGAAGAAGGCAAGGGCAACCCACTCCTGAAAATCTTGCCAAAAAGACTGCCAGACTTGTCCTGGCAGTCGCCAAGAATCAACACTGACTTGAAGGGACATACACAATGAAGACTTCAGTGTTATGCATATCTTCTGAGAGAGAAGTCTTACTGTGTACAGTAACACTTATCCCTTAAAAAGAATGTAAGGAAGGAACAGGAATGAGATAAATTTTCATCCTTAAGAAATAACCTGGTGATAAATACGGAAGAGAGATGTTGGAGAAGGAGTGCCATGCTAGTTTATGGTGATAAAAAAAGCAGAAAGGGGCTAGTGGTCCTTTCCTACCTCACTTGAATTTTAATCCAACATCAGTCTAGCCCAGTGTTTCTCAACCTTGGCACCTTTAAGATGCGTGGACTTCAATTCCCATAATTGGTTGTGGAATGGCTGGCTGGGGAATTCTGGGAGTTGAAGTCCACGCATCTTAAAGTTGCCAAGGTTGAGAAACACTGCTCTAGCCATTCTGTGCATCTGATGACGTGAACTGCAGCTAAACAAAAGCATATGCCTTTTAATAAAATTTGTTAGTCAGAAAAGGAGCCACCAGACTCCTTCAGAAGAAAAATCAGTACCACACCTTCTTAATTAGAAGGCTGAAGTTGTCCTTCAAGTGGTTCTTAAAGACATCATGGCTACTTAAAAGGACCATGTATGGATTTTGTAATGTGAGGCAGACAGATAAGGAAGCCCCATCTGAACTGACCTCCATCTAGCCAATAAAGGGGTGATTTCAGGCTGTTCCCATGAAATTCATTGCGATTCTGTTTCCGTAAGTATCATTTTGTAGAGTTCCAAAGTTTAGGAGGACCGCAATGGGATCCAGTATTATGATCAAATTGCTCTGTGGGAAGAAGGTAAAATTGAGATTGGACCCCAGTACATGGCCCACTGCAGTCATGGAATGAAAATCAAACAGAAATTGCTTTTGACTAAGACAAACCAATTTTTAACCAGCTTAGTATTGTTTACAGAAATTGTTATTAAGGCTCTTAATAATCTTTTCCCAGCCTTACCTGGAGATAACTAAAACCTTATTTTAAAAGCATAGGCAAAGAAACTCAATCACATTGCAAAAGAAATCACAGATGGAATTATATGGCCATCTTAGAGATAGAAGTATAACTTGATCAGGGTAAATTCACTACTTTCATGCAGGCGCTTACTCTTAGATGCACTGACCAGCCCATCCTTCCTTTTCAACATGATTGTTGTACGCTGCCCAGAGTCGCTTCTTGTGAGTTGGGCAGCCATATAAGTGTGATTTAATAAATGCATAAACAAATAATAAACATGGGGAATCTGATTCTGAGGCCTGCCTGAAACAGCTGAATTATAAATTTTGAATTTTAGCAAGGATGAATTTTTTAAAAGGAATTTTAACTTCTTTAAAGTTTCTTTCAAACTAAATCTGCATTGTTATTGAATTTTGATACAATGTAAACTGGGGAAAGGAAAAAAATGAAGAAATGTCCAGGTTAAAAAAAAAAAAAAAAGACAGGAAATTGTTCCAAATTTAGAACACTTCTAAGCCTTCAGTGTAACTGGATGTTTTCAAAAGTGGTCAGTATTTTATTATTTTTAAGGGCATATGTTGCTAGGAATATTCTTTTCTACTGTCTGAGACTCGCTGTGTAACTCCCAGCCTCTTTGTGGCTCCTACTTCTACTTTTCTTTGACCAGCGTTTGATTTGTTATCTTAACTTGTGCTGTGTTGTGTTGTTACAAGTTTGTTTTGTTGTATTTCACACTTCACTTATTCTTAGTGCCTTGAGCAAAACTGTGGGATATACACAATAACAATAATATTCAGATATTCTAATAGGACAATGAAATAGGGGATGGAAATAGGACCTGTCATGGGACCTGATAAATATACATTTTTATTTTTAATGACATTAGCTGTTTTTAAAATAGATTTTTAAGGACCCCTCTACCCTGTGCATGTATATTATTCAAACAAGCATTATATATATTCTTTCCATTATATGTCAGAAACTAGGTTTCTCTAACTCTGGAATGTATACATTTTTGTAAATTTATAATTGATATAAACCAATTTTCTCTTGGGTATGAAGGTACTTTCCCAATTGATCTGACAAAAACGCGTCTCCAAGTACAAGGCCAGAAAAATGATGTAAAGCATAAAGAAATCCGTTATCGTGGAATGCTGCACGCGTTAGTGAAAATATTCAGGGAAGAAGGACCGAAGGCCTTATACTCTGGGTAAGATTTCTAATATGTCTATTTTGTGTATTGTTGAAAACGATTTAAACTGATATGTCTGTATGTAGTTAAATAGTTGGGTGTTACATCTTGGATTTTTAGATTATCTTAAACCTGATGTTTTACGTTAAAACTAATGTTTTGGCCCAGTTCTGAGTCACATCCTAGCTTATTTTCCTAGTATGTTAATTGATATTAAGCTGGCATTTCCCTCTTAGGAAAAAGGTATTTAAATGGTTTGTCTTTGAGAGAGCTGATGAATGGTATGAGAAATTGTACAGCTTTTTAAGTACAAATACTGCTTTTAAAGTTTGGGGTGTTCTAAATCTTTTCCCCCTGGGGTATACATTTATACACACACACCCATCCATCCGTCCATCCATTCCCAATAAGATTCGTTGTGAATGTGCTGAACGATTCTAGAAAAGCTCAGTGTCCCCTGGAATGCTCTATTTTTTTCTCCAGAAGAAGCTAATTCAAAACTTCTGAAATAAAATCTTTTGGAAAAGGAGCATTTCTGTCTCTCCTGCTTTGCACACAACAGTTGGTGATTTTTGCATTTATAGACGCTTCGGAACTTCCCTTGGAAGTCAGGCTTGGTTGGAGTTGGTAGAAGCCCGTATCCCCAGCTGAGAACTGTTTACAGCAGCAGCTAATTTAACCAATAATAATGGATATAAGAGAGCCAGTTTGGTGAAGTGGTTAAAGCACCATACTAGAAACCAGGAGGCCATGAGTTCCAGTCCCACCTTAGGCACGAAGCCAGCTGGGTGACCTTGGGCCAGTCCCTCTCTCTGCCCTAGGAAGAAGAAGGAGGCAAGGATAAACCACTTCCAAAAATCTTGCCCCCAAAAGTGCACAGATTGCTGTAAAGTTCATGATGAGGAAAAAGATCTAATTCCTCTCAGTAATGTCCAAGATTTTTCTGTGTCCTTACCTTGATGCCAACCCAATACCAACCCTTTTTGACCAAAATCTACTTGTGGGCAAAGGAATTCTTGCTTTCACTTTAAAATTGCAAATACTGTGAGTGTACAAGATTAGACTAGTCCAGGCAGTCAGCAGGAGTCAAGACTGGCTTGAAGGTACCAGATACATACAAAAAAACACACACACACACACACACACACGTCTCTCTCAATTTGGGCCGATGGTCAAACCATCCCTGGAAGCCCTACACACTTCTGCCACCACCAAGACAGTCATAACCTCCCCACCTCAAGTATTATGTGTTTAGAAGACTGCGGGAAAGCCAGACCCCTGGTTTTACGTCCATTTCTTTGTTCTTGCAGAATTGCCCCTGCTATGTTACGCCAGGCCTCTTACGGAACTATAAAGATAGGCACTTACCAGAGCCTGAAAAGAATATTTATCGAACGGCCAGAAGGTGAGCGCATTTTCCAGACCTGAGCTGCGTTTCTTAGATGAAAGCCAAAGAGAGGTCGGAGTAGAGACTGTAGGGTGTATGCCATCAAGCTGGTGTCAACGCTTAGCAACCACTTTAGATTTTCTCCAGAAAGATAAAAGGGGATTTAGGTAAAATATATGGAGTAGATATTAGAGTATGTATTGTTATCAGAGTAATTTTGTGAGGTTGGTGATGTCATTTAATCTACCACACGACATTGCTAAGGTAACATCTGGCCTGCATTATACTGGCTAGGTTTTGGTGGAACCAGCCATGGTCTCTGTCACATTAATCCATAATGTGGTTAATTGGTTTGAGCAAAGCTTGTTAGGTGAACACAACATTGAGTGTTGTTCGCCAAGGTTTAGTGTGTTGGCAACTGTTTGCAAGCCACGCAAAGATAACAATGTCCTGGTTCATTTGGTGGCTAAACTATGATTTACTTTAACTGTGTGGTTATTTTAAAAGCCACACTTGTTTGGATTCTGCAGTAGATTAAGTCAAGTGATTCATTTTATAACTCAGCATGTGTGAAGCCAACTCACGCTGGAGCAGCGTGCGTTTGGTTCTTTTGACATAAATGTGTGCCCATCAGTAGGCAAATTTAGCATAGCTCATCTTAAGAATCGGAACGTGTGCAAGGAAAGCAAGTTCTTTCACATATATAAGCTTTCCTGCCATACTTTCATCTGTCTTCAATCAGGAGGGGAACCCCAGAGCAGATTGCTGGTCCCACCAGAGTGACCTAGCTAAGGGAGCTATTGCTACATGAATAGGACTTGGATTCCTACATTAGGTGAATATTGCCAGTCTGTTTCAGTACGGGTTCACTCTCTGCACCCCTCACTAGTCCAGCAAAAGTGGTGTTCTGCCATCACTATTTCAAAACATACTAAAGTGGGTAAAACTTTGATTTCCATGTTTTACTGATCCACCAGTTTGGTGCAGTAGTTAAAGCCATGGGCTAGAGACTGGGAGATCTACTGTAGTCCTGCCTTAGGCACAAAGCCATCTGGGTGACCTTGGGCCAGTCACTCTTTCTCAGCCCCAGGAAACAAACCACTTCAAAAAAATGTTGCCAAGAAAAGTGCAGGGACTGGTCAAGACCGATTTGGATACCAAAATATGAAGACTGAATGTAATGAACATTTTTGTTTCTGAAACAGATGAAACACTGGCCGTCAATGTATTGTGTGGGGTTCTGTCTGGTGTAATTTCATCTTCTATTGCTAACCCCACTGATGTCTTGAAGGTAAGCCCTAGACTTTTTGGAAATCAGATTGCTTTTGAGGTTCTCTTTTTAAGTAACATCCTTTCAGAGGAGAATAAGATGCCTGTCACTGCTTCTTTGTTGTTATAGAAATATAATGTGTGTAAATAACCATCATACAAAGCAAAATATATTGTTATGGTTCAGTTTTCAGATTTCCAGTAATTTTCAGCCTAGCTTTAAAGCCCAGTTTCCCAGGACCTTGCAAGGGGAATGCAGCTAAGCTAGTTCTTAAGTATCTCCATTTCACATTTGATATCTTCAGCCATTATAACTTTCTGAATCATCTGTTTGGAACGAGAGCTGATGTTCCAAAAACGTCTCAGTTCCTTCCCCAAGTAGTAGAAGGAGAGTCTTGGAGATCTGCACCATCAGTTGACTTGTAGATGCTGCAAGATTTCATCTTTGCTCCAAATAAGGAGGAAACCTGAATAAGTTTCACTTCCCATTAAAGTGGAATCAGGTTTGTTAGTTGGAATTTCTGTTAGGCCTGGCCTTACTTCTGGCGGTCCAGATCGATCAGTCTTGGAAAGCAAGTAAGAATCATGTCTGCTCACGCAACAGTTACACCACTGCAGTGTAGCTCATGTGGCATTGGCATTCATGCGTTCAGAAATCATCAGCATTAATGCAAACAAGGACTTTCTGCTGTAGCTTGCTGTCAGTAGAGTACATGACCTGTGTATAGAAGGTCCCAGCTGCTTAAACACTTAAAAGGGTTAAAAGGACCAGGGCTGAGTTTATGTGGAAGTATGGGAAACTGCAGCCAGGTGGAGTAAATAATATTGGCTGGGATCAGAGATAGGGAATTTGGGGGCCACTTTTCTTCTTCCTGCCTTGCCTGAGGGTTGTAGGGATGGGCCTGAGATTTTCAGCCCCACTCTTTTTAAAAAAGTTTTGGGATTGTTAAGGGGAGATGGATCTCGCAGATGCTTCAGCTAGCTATTTTGCCCTTAAATATCTGAATAGAAAAATCTGGCACATTTTTCTTGGGGACTGGGGAAGGTTTCAAAGCAAAATGAGTACTTTAAGTAGGACTGCAACTCTCCAGACAAATGCCAGTTATTTGTTGCTGTCTGGTGGGTATCCAGGTTTCTCCACCTGGATTTGCTAACTTAAATCACTTTTGCACTAGTAAGCCAGAGAAGGCCATTTTTCCCCTCTGTTGGACCAGCTCTTATCCTCTCTCTTCTCATGTATGTTAATATATTCCGAAGGGAACACTCTGTTGGGGTCATCATAAGGAAAAAAACCTTATCTGTACTGCAGCGTGTCATGAGAAGAAAATAGCTGAGCGTATCGGTAGTGTCTAATTTAAGAACTAGCCTACATTCTCATTCCTCTGCCTTTCCATTATAACAGTTCTTCCTGCTGTGAGGGTAATGCAATTCTGAATGAGCACCCAGCTCTTGAATCTGAGTTATTTTCAAGGAATTGGAAAATTGCTCTCAGCCTAATTTCATGCTTCCTTGGACTAATTTTAGAAGTCTTTGACAAGACCTCAAGAGCAATCTGCCATTCTTCTAGTAATCTACTGTTTAAGGAGGAAGAAAAGAAAAATAGAAAAGTGTTGGGGGTGGGGCGTGGGGGAAGAGGTGTTGGAAAAGCATCAGTGTTGAACTTCAGCTCTGGCCTGATCTGGTGCTTGTTTTAGCACTGCCAACCATAGCCGCGTAATGCTACTTCCCACGAGATATGCCCTGGAAACTATGGTTCTTGAGATAAAAGCTTGCCCATTGAAGCTCAATGTTATAATTAAAGTATTTTTCACAAAGCAATTTTTTGTTTTTATTACTTATGAGGCTTTATTTTCCTGCTCCCGAATGAGAGGCCTCGTAGCAGCCCTTGAAGAAAGATTTCTTGCCCTTGATGCAGGATGTTTATGCCCATTTTTTAAGTCCTTTACATCTTAGAGGTGAATTTTCCCATGTATGTTTGGTACAGTGTTCCCTTTGGAATATGTCAGATGCCCAGCAGTGTCTTTGCACTGCGTTTTTCTTTCTGGCCAATGAGAAGTGTTGTTTCCAAAAAAGGTTGATGTAAACCTTTCTTCTGTCAAGGGCTGCAACTTTCACAGGTTCACATTTTAGATAGGACTGGAACAAGGAGTCAGTTGAGCCAGAACCAAACGGCGGCAGAGATATCATGTTCTTTTCCTGTTCTCTTTCTGGACATACTCTTCTGTCTCTCCCCCAAAGGGCAAGTGGCCTAAAATGATCTCTCAAAGAAAGCCTTTGAAATTAAGCTACCCACCCCCGGTTTAAAGTTACATATGAGTCAGATGGATGCCAGCAAGTTGTTCCGATCGACTGCCCCATAGATATGAAAAGATGCATTCTTGTTATCATGGAAAGATGGGATGACTACTATATGTGACCCATTTTCTGTTCTTTCCTTTATATCCCAAATAAATCCTAGATCAGAATGCAAGCTCAAGGAAGTCTCATGGAAGGTGGAATGATTGGCAACTTCATGAATATTTATCATAATGAAGGCACGAGAGGCTTGTGGAAGGCAAGTTATTAAATACATTTCAGAAATCTGCCACCGTTATTCTGTTCCAGCTGAGTATATTCAGGGGACAGGCACTGCAAAAGAACTAGACTGTGGATTTTTTTTGTGGATCAGGCAAAAATATGTTTTTGAATTTAAAGTTGAAATTAATAATATTACATCTATCCTGGTTATAGATATATAAAAATATGTCTTGATTTGTGGATTTATTGGAGTCTTTCTCTCTGGAAGTTTCTAATGCTGCATAGAGCTCACTCTACTATCCATGACCTGACCTGGAAATTAATGAAAACACACAGAACCTGTAAGATTGGCCTGATCCTTGTGGGATGGAGAAATTCCTTACTGGTATCTCATTTGCTTCCATCCCTATGATTCTGAAATATTTGGGAGAAGCTCTTGCAATTTTTTCTGGAATCCTAAGAATTATTAACAGTTGGGTGGGTGGGGAGTTCAAGTATTTGATTTCACTCCAATTGACAGGTTCTGCTTTGGATTTTCTGTTGGGGGAATACAAATAATTCAGTTTCTTTGATGATGAGTGGCGTTTTGTCTGCTCATGTAGAGTTGCTGGGAGTTTTGCAGCATATAAATGTAATATATTAGGGTTGGTCGCACACTCAGCCAGATGTTTAGACTGGATTTGGCATTTTTGTCCCCCAGTCGAGTCCTTCCCAAGGACCTGGGATAGGCAGATGGTGGTTGATGGTGGTTGATGCTAAAGGTATTGTCGCAGGATGTGAGCTGTTCCAAGTAAAGCTGTCCTTTGCGATTGACTGATGGTGATTTTGTCAGTGCCAATGGTCCTCAAGTGGTGCTCCAGATGTTTTGGGATTGCACCCAAGGCGCTTATTACTGTTGTTACTACCTTTGCTTTCTTTTGCCACAGCTATTCGCTTTTTGTGATTTCCTCCAGTTCTTTCTTTTCTATTCTGCTGTCTCCAGGTACTGCAGTGTCCACTATCCAGACTTTTTTGTATTTCTTATCAACAATTGTGAAATCTGGGGTGTTGTGTGGCAGGTGCTTGTCTGTTTGAATTCGAAAGTCCCAGAGCACCTTGGCTCCTTCATTTTCTATTACTTTGTCTGTTTTGTGGTCCCACCAGTTCTTGCTTGCAGGCA